ATTGAATTGGATTACGATGCAGGCAGAAGTAGACAGCGTCGGCAGAAACAGGTGTCCAAAACAATTGAAAATATCGAATTAAAGCCAGCATATGACAAGCCACTCCCTATTCAAAAATCTTTGTATTATGATCTCCTAAGCCTGTGTAACTTCCAAGCAATTCCCCACCATTATCAACCATTTTATAGGAATTTAAGCTTTTGTGATACTGAATCAGGTCACGATTAGGATTCTGATTAAGATTTTCAACTGTAATAGGACCTTATTATAATTTTCATGATTGTGTAATCATGTGTAATAGTCGTGTCTTCAGTGCAGTGTCTATTTTTTATGATAATAATAACTATCGTGTTTTGTCAAACTAACCAAAGTTGTTTCATTTACTAGAATGTCCTTTATTTCATAAAATATACTATATTAATCATCAAATAATACTTAAGTAAACTATTCGAATAAACAGTAATAGTCAAAACAATAAAATGTACGTTACTGTTAAACAATCGAATAACCTAATTATTACTTTTTACAAATGTTCAGTATACAAAACAAATTACACGAATAATAGCGCAACACGATATTACCGTTGCCGTCGAAAATATAAATTTACACGAATAATATCGCAACAAGATTTTACTGTTGCCGTCGAAAATATAAATTAACACGAACAATATCGTAAGTGACATTACTGACCAGAGCTTGACCTACACTAATATAGTAAAATCCATCCAGCTAAATTATAACGAAGCCCTTGGGACTACTTTAATTTTGTTGAAATAACCAGATAGCTGAAAAAATTAGCTTCCATATGCGATATAAAATGTCTCTGATAATTGTTGTTTAATAGAGTTATTAAGGAAAAATGGTTTTTTATTTTTCCTGAACATTTACACTTTTACGATTACCGGATTATTCGCGGGGGGCGTCGATGTTATAAAAGTATCATTATACACTATGGTTTTAAAAGTTCCGCTAGTGTCTGCAAAGCAAAGCAATGTTTGTCAAGGATGTGGGTGATTTTGTTAGTTAAAATAAGAGGACTGTACCTCGCAAACATAATATGTTTAATTTGACAAATTAAATTAGATAACACTGAGCGGTACTCAATACCAAAACGTCTGGCCAGCGTGGTATAATAAGACAAAACCTCATTTCTAAGGAGGAGCTATTATAGGCTGTTGATGTGATATGAGCGGTATTCGTGTCTTTTTTATAGGTTAGGAGTTGCTAGAGTGCAACGATATTGCAAAAACTTTGTCTCGTCGAGCTGGATCTTTGTGTTTGAGAAATTTAACTATTTTAATGTGGGTAGTTTGATATTATTTCACCTAACCGCTCGCTGTATCAATAGAAACCAAAGAAATGGTAACGACGCAATATTTTTTTTATTTGTTTGAATATTGGTTCTTCGAAAATTCTCGAGTTTATTAAAATAAGTTCAACAGATTGAACCACGATTTCCATCAGTCGCGCGTGTGCGCGTGCTTTCTGATTCGCAGCAACGCGAAGACTAAATTTAATTTAATAAATCGTCTTGCTAAAATATTAATACTAATGCTAAAATTGCTAAATGAAAGAAAAATGAACCATCTGTTATCACGTTTAAGTAACTATTTCGCTAGGAACAGTGAACGAGCGCGAATCACCGAAACCGAATTCACTTTAACATTCGCATCAAGCGAAGAAGGGATAATAAAATTAATAAAACTGCTAATGCTAAATTGCTAAATTTCGCGCGGAACGATGTCCGAGCGCGGCGCGATTGATTGAGAGTACAAAGGATTTTATTGTTTATTTTAAATTAAATGCACGTATTTAGGTTTGTTTATTGCATGTATGTGTTTTTAATATTAATTTTAATGTTCATTGAATTTTTAGCATTAGCAAGTAGCCGGGAGATTAGATATTGTTTTAAATGCCTTTGTTTTCTCGTAGTGTTTTCTTAAATTATTTATAGTTGTTCATATAATTGGTACCTATATAGTATGTGTTATTAAGTTTAATTATAGGGTAGGCATAAGTAATTTTGAAGAGTGTGACGTACCTATGTGTTGGAAATAGGTATTTTGTGAATAATTAGGAATATTTAAAAAAAATAGATAGAAATCTGTGTTGCATTATTTCTCGAACGGAATTGCAATATTGGCATTAGCTATTAACATGCTAAGACATAAGAATTAGCATTACTAATACCTATTACTAATACAATACTATCTCATTACTAATACCTTGATACAAACTGAAAATACTTGTCATATAAGTATAATAAGACTTCCACTTTTCAGAGATTGGTGAAGTATTTAATCATAAGTATTTGAAACATATTACATGGGACAGTCCATCTCGTTAAAAGAATACATTTTACGCTTTTTAAGAGTAAGACTACCTATTGATAGTGTAAGTTCTTACATCTTAAACCCTTAAGACTTATTTTCGTTTGATTTTCTTTTTTCACTGAACCATCCATAGACAATATTAAAAAGATTGGGATACGAGCGGTGCTCGTATGCTTTCAGTTGGAACTGTAACTATGATATTGTTTAAAGCATTCTTAATGGACCTGTTGGGATCATGGTGGTGTACAAAACAAACCCATGACCTTAGCAGTCAGGGTCACTGCTAAGGTCAGGGGTTTGTTTTGTACACATGACAAACAATTGTGTGATATAGCAGTGCAGTTGTAGCGTATGCAATTTCTGTGCTGAGGTCTCAGTCCGATTCCCGGGTCGAACCAAATGTTTGTATCTTACCAACATTTGGATCGACCAAGTATTAACTGCAAGTATTTGATTAAGCATTAGGATGTTTTCTAGGTATAATTATGTAAGGAACATATGAAGTAGAGGGGAAGTAAGAAATTAAAATAGGGAAGTGATCACTACCAAGGGAGTTTGGCAGGGGGGACCAGGATAGGAGGGAGACTAGGGAAGGAGAAGATAGTGTTAAATCTGGAACACTAATATTTTGGCATGGAGAAACTCTACGAGTTGCGGATCCATCATTAAGGATGCACAAGTTGCAATCATCCATAACGTCAAGTAAGACAGAGGAGCATGAGTCAATACAGTGAGATCCCATTAGAGTGTGACGGCAGTTAAAGTCTCCTAAAACAATCATAGGGGAGGGGATAGTTGAAAGAATTGTTTTTAATTCAAGAAGAATGCTTGTGTTGGGATGGGGAATATAGACAGAGACAAAGGAAACATTAAAAGCTCTGAGGGCCACTATATTTAAGCCAAGAGAGTGGTTTGGTAATAAGATTAGAGAGAATGTAATATTCCTATTGACCAATAAGGCACAACCAGCATAACCATCACTTCTATCATCCCGAAGACAAGTGAAACCAGGAATTCTAAAATGGAATTCAGGCTTTAACCACGTTTCGGAAACTGCAAAAACTACAGGTTTATGTTGATTGATCAAGTAAGAGATATCTTGTTTGTTACGTCGGATACTCCTACAGTTCCTAAATGTGTTTTTAATATTAATTTTAATGTTCATTGAATTTTTAGCATTAACAAGTAGCCGGGAGATTAGATATTGTTTTAAATGCCTTTGTTTTCTCGCAGTGTTTTCTTAAATTATTTATAGTTGTTCATAGAATTGGTACCTATATAGTATGTGTTATTAAGTTTAATTATAGGGTAGGCATAAGTAATTTTGAAGAGTGTGACGTACCTATGTGTTGAAAATAGGTATTTTGTGAATAAATAGGAATATTAAAAAAAATAGATAGAAATCAATATTGGCATTAGCTATTAACATGCTAAGACATAAGAATTAGCATTACTAATACCTATTACTAATACAATACTATCTCATTACTAATACCTTGATACAAACTGAAAATACTTGTCATATAAGTATAATAAGACTTCCACTTTTCAGGGATTGGTGAAGTATTTAATGATAAGTATTTGAAACATATTACATGGGACAGTCCATCTCGTTAAAAGCCTACATTTTACGCTTTTTAAGAGTAAGACTACCTATTGATAGTGTAAGTTCTTACATCTTAAACCCTTAAGACTTATTTTCGTTTCATTTTCTTTTTTCACTAAACCATCCATAGACAATATTAAAAAGATTGGGATACGAGCGGTGCTCGTAGTTCCAGCTTATAGAAATCTGATAGACAATAACGGTAGGCATATAAGACACTTCGGGGAATGCTGTGTCCGTCTATAATGCTACCATCGCTTAATTTGACATTTAGCAGATTCAGCCATTCCCCAGCACCAGGATTAATTTAATTAAACGTATTGTCTTATAGATTCACCGCTTTGTGAAATGCAAACGCTAAATTTATAGGCGCAATCAAAATTTACTGAAAGATTTATTATGCCTAATTAACTATACTACATCCATTTTGAAAATAACTCTGTTGATATATATTTTTTTTTTTTAAACTAATATAAATTTATTTTAGTATATATATTTACTCTCTGATTTTAGTATTTGATTTAAAAAAGATTCATCATCATAATTTCAGCCGAAAGACATCCACAGCTGGACATAAGCCTCCCCAAGGATCGCCACAACAAACCGTCCTATGTTACCCGCATTCAACGGCTTTCTGCGGCCTTCACCAGGTCCTCGGACCACCTTGTGTCCTACCCACTACGTTTTCCAGTACGCGGTCTGCACTCGAGAACTTTGTGGCCCCATTGGGCATCGTTTCATCATATAGATAAATGATACGAGCGCCATCTTTCTTTTCTTATAAGTACTAAAAGACTGTAAGTGTAAACAATGTCAAAGAAAAAGGCATAATTAAAACAGATTGGAAAACAAAACATTTAATATACTAATATAATTATGATTCAACTTGTTGACATATCTGTATCAGGGATGCTTACAACAACAAGAATGTGTTTTGGTGTTTAAATTGTTATAACAAAAAAAATAATGATCACAGTAGTTCTATAATAATTTTTATCACAACATACTCGTAATATTAATTTCAACTTAATAAAATTTGTCCCAATATTAAGTAAAAAAAATTATAGTAAAATTTCATGTTTATACATATCATACAGCACGGAACAAAGCCTAAACAATGGTAAGCCGACTACAGTAAAATAATCTCCATCTACACGTTCCACGAATGAGCCTCCCACCCCTTGTATTCCGTACCCTCCAGCCTTGTCCATTGGTTCTCCAGTTGCTATATAGCCTCTTATTTGTTCCTCATCCATTTTTCCAAAGAAGACATTTGTTTTTTCAGTGAATTTTACAATTTGATCTAAACTTTTTACCACTACACCAGTATATACAGTGTGACCTCTTCCTGAAAGGCTGCAAAAGAAATTCATTCATATGAACAAATAAAAGTTGGCTATATTACAGCAAAGTTAGTTATTTATGTAGAGCATTAGAAAAATTATTAATATTTTAATTTCATTTGCATCCTAATAATCCACTACTGGACATAGGCCTCTCCCTGGAAAGGAGGTTTTGGCCTACTATACCACACTGGCCAGATGGGTTGTTATAGGGTTTGTGTCAAATTTTTCTTCTCTTTGCAATGCTGTTTTCCTGCATAGTTTGCTTCCTCAGTCGGCTTTTACCATACCCACGGGATGAATTTCGTAAAAAAACTCCGTATTTTTAATCCCCCCATCCTCCACCTTAATTTAATTTTTTTATTCCTAAACATTTTGTTATTTAAATTGTAAGTTATACTACCCTGGAAAATTGGAAACAAACCCTATACCTACCATCATGGTAAAGTATGCCAAAACATCCTTTCTAAGGAGAGGCCTATGCTCAGCAGTGGACTGTTAAAAGCTGTTGATGATGATGATAACTATACCAATTAACATGTATAGCTTACAAATGTATGCTTTCAGTTGGAACTGTAACTATGATATTGTTTAAAGCATTCTTAATGGACCTGTTGGGATCATGGTGGTGTACAAAACAAACCCATGACCTTAGCAGTCAGGGTCACTGCTAAGTTCAGGGGTTTGTTTTGTATACAGGACAAACAATTGTGTGATATAGCAGTGCAGTTGTAGCGTATGCAATTTCTGTGCTGAGGTCTCAGTCCGATTCCCGGGTCGAACCAAATGTTTGTATCTTACCAACATTTGGTTCGACCAAGTATTAACTGCAAGTATTTGATTAAGCATTAGGATGTTTTCTAGGTATAATTATGTATGTATTTACAAAAAAAAAAGGTAATTTAATTATTTTATCAGTCAATTTAGCTCAAGCTTTAGTCATAGTACAAGCTCTGCTTAGGTTTATCAGCAGTCCCGTTACGAAAGCACAGGCTCTGCCTAATGTGGAATCAGACAGACATGTGTGATATGAGTGTAGTGTAGTCATCACTATTAAAATTACAATTTTATTTTATATAGACATAACAGTCAGTCATAGAGATATGGCAGTCTGGCTCTTACCGTGATAACATTTCAAATGCTTCATGTTCAGAAGTAGGTTTACCAAACATCTCTTTACCCAAGGTGACCATAGTATCAGCTCCTATCACAATATCTGGCACATTTCCTTCACAAATCAGCCTGTTTTCAACTTCTAAAACTTTTTGCAAAGCTGTCTCCTCCACAAATTCTGAGAAACTTTTAAAACTGTGAGGGTCCAAATTTTCTTCAAATAATGATGAACATAGTTGTACTTTAAGTCCCTGAAGTTATCAGAAAAGAAAGGGTTATTTTTTATCCTAGGTTATTTACTTTCTTAAATACAATTTAAAAAAATAAAGCGATAAATTCTTACTATATTTTCAACTAATTCTTTTCTTCTAGGAGACCCGCTAGCCAATACAATATTTTTCTGTTTTAGAATATGCATCACTGGTTGTAACATTTTTATCTTAAGATAATAGATTTATTTTAACAAAATTATTGTTTACCACTTCTCTATACAGTTATACAATTAAAATAGTTATAAAAAGAAAAGAAATAATAATCACTGCATACAGATGTTGTTCTGTGATTAAAATAATTCAACCACGGGCCACGGCTACATATTATAACCTATAACTCCTATAAGTCCTATAACCTAATTGTAAACTTGTACTTGTATAATATACATAATTATATAATAATATACATAATTATTATACCTAATTTGATTATTTTACGATATAGATTACGACATGCGCCCAGAAATATGTAATAATAGTTATCGAATGTAGTAATTACACTATATAAAAATACCGTGGATTTAGTGCCATAACATTTTTTTTAAATTTCATATCTGAAAGGCGCGAATGTATTTTTTTTTAATTTTAGGTAGTTATTTGTGTACCACATTACCAATCTGAGATATAAATGTTTTATATATATAAATACATATTTTAATATATTTCCTTACTAAAATATCATACTTATGGATACATTATATCAATCTAATTATATCATTAAAAATTATCCTAAGAGAAAGGTAACCAAAATAATAAAAGAAATAGTCATATAATCTGAAATATTCAGTTGTCATCATCATTCAATTATTATATTCAGTCATTCAATTTCAAATATTCGGTTCAAAAAACTGTCCTAAGATTTGGTAAAAAAAAACTAATACCCACGATACATTAACAACTTTAATTTTTTACAATATTTCATTCATCTTCACATCATTGAAATTAAAATACAGAGTTTACTTTATGGCATGGTGGCAAGTTGTTTGAGTAACATCACTAATAAAAAGTTCATGACGTAGTCTGTGGCGTTGCACAGTTGTCTTTTAATGAGGTTGAGTAGCGTTTTCAACTCAATGTTAAAAAATACAACCAGAAAAGGTGATGTGAACATAGTTTAATTTACAATGAAGTCCATTGTGGCTTATGTTCGTAGTCTCATAGGTTTAGGCGACGATATTCCACCGATTAGAACAGGCTTCAAAAGAGACAGGTATGACATTTCACATTACATGTTTACAAGTTTGGTGTGTTATGGCGGCAAAGTCGGTACAAAATCGTTGAATTCACCTTAAAATACATACCTCATAATGTTTAAGATATCTCTAAAGACAGCTTCTAAGTTCTGGCAGTAAGTTGTTACTGTAAACAGTAAGGTAACTCCTACAGTAAGGTAGTTCTCATTATATTATTTTGTTGCAGGGAAGAAGATGAGTTTTCGTCTGAAGACAGTATAATACCAGTCCACAAGAGACTGAGACAGTTAAAGAGAACAAGTTTCCCAGATATGTCCTCGCAAGGTACGAGTTTTGTGCTGCGTTTTAACCATAGTCTTTATATCAGAAATAACCTTAGCTTATCATCATACAGGTACATTGGAAATTGTTAAAAGTTTGAGTTTTATACTTTCTATTGTGACTCATGACTGAAGAAGTTACTGTCTCAAATCAATACCTAGTCATATCTTCAAGGAAAATTTTTATAATGAGAAACAAACATTTGAGTTAAGAAATGAAAATATATTGTTGCTTGTTATTATTGTTTTACAAAATAACATCAATAAGTGAAGTAGTTTCTCCAGTAGTTGCATGCATTAAAAAAAATATGACCTGAGTCAGTTATAGGGTGTTCTAACTTAGGATAAGGTTGCTTTGAATTAACTTTTGACTTCAGGGATGGTATTGTGGTTTTAGCAGTTGCCTCCCTGCTTCCTACTGTGTTTAGTGTTGTGGGTTTGATCAACACATAGGACAACACTTTGTGTTGTTGTGCTGAGTGTTTGTTTGAGGTGTTCGATTCATAAATATTTGTAAAGTTCCCCTCGACACAGGATGTATTTCTAGTGCAGTTGTCTTTTCTATAAAAATCAATAAAATTGAAGTGTCTTTTTGTAATGTCAAAATAATAGGTTTTATCATGCTCACATGGTTATTTACACCATACATACGCCTAAAAACCAGTTTTTTGAAATTTCTGACTGTTTGTTTGTTTAATCTTCTAAACAGCTGGACTGATTTTGATAGTATTAACTACCAGGTAGCTGTCAATATAAAGAGTAACTTAGGCACTTAAGAGTATAATAGAAGTTGGTATGATCTTCATTCGGGTGGAAAGTAAATTGCAGCTGATTATTGCGAGTACATTAATTGTTCATTAAAATAGGGCTTTATGGATATTTATATCTAACTTAGTTAGTGTCCAACCGAAGTTTCGGTTTCAGTGAAAAACTCTAGTTTCGGTCAGAGTTTTGGTTTAGGCCAAAATTGGCCGAAACTCAAAATGTTGTGCGTCGTTTGGGCCAACTATTGATTAAGCAGACACCACGCCGCTTATTACTACGTTGAGTGTTATGGGTCCGATCCCCACATGTGACGACACTTTGGGTGATCCACAAATTGTTCTGAGTCTGGGTGTTCTTTGTGTCCGTTTCCTGTATGTTTGTGAAGTCCCCCGCGACAAAGGATTTATTCCTAATGCGGAAGTTGTCTTTTTGCGGTCATAATATATTATAATTAATTTCATTTTATTAAATTAATCGCATTTAACCTTACAAATATTATGACTATATTTAATTATGATTTTAAAGAGCCGCTGTTTGTAAGGTCATGATTTTTTCTATTTTCTAGCATTAGTAATAACTAGAAATGGATTCTATTAATAGAAGACTACTTTGTTAGATCATGATCAATATTTGTAGTAATTTGTATTCTTCAAACCTTAATTTTCCACTCTTAGGTGTGGTAATTTGGGTTCAAATTTAAATGGAAGTATACAATACACTCCTAATTTGATTCCTTTCCTTTCTCATTGGTTCATAAATGTCAAAGTTCTAAGGAAGTTCCCCCTTTTTTTAATACAGTTTAAAATAGATAAACAATGCTATTATGGACCTGTTGGTCTAGTTGTATATTTTATGTATATGTATTTATGTATATTTTATGGTTTAAAGAAAAACACATTTTTTGAGATGAGAAAAAACCATTTAACTCGCGGCGCTGTTACCGTTACCGACACCTCTGTTGAAGTGAAAACTTATTTTGGCATGTTGGACATTTTTGAACAACAAACAAAATAATGTATTTTATGGTTTAATAAAATACACATTTTTTGGGATAGAAAAATAACCATTAAACTCGCGACACTGTTTTTTTGGTACAAGGGGGTAAACGATGGGTCACCTGATGGTGACTACCGCATCCATAGACACCTTTTTTTTTATTCTTTTTTTTTTCGTGCGGACATCCCCTCGGATATCACCTATCGGTGGCATGTCGGACTCGAACCGACTAAAACCGCACGCTGTCTCGGGTACTAATAGCCGGGGAACCAGGTATACCCTAGAAAGGAAGTCCCTGGTGCCCCGACATATCCATAGACACCTGCGACTCTAGAGTCATAATTGCGTTGCCACCCTCTGAGTCCTCCAGAATCAAGTGGAGGGGAGTCCATTTACCTCACTGGTTTTCTGTGAGACAGTGTTATAATAAACATTTGTACTGAAGCATACCCAAGTTTGTTTCCAGAGTTTATAATTGTGTGATAATCGTAATCATTAGTTCTAGGTCTGATTGTAATTTATTTACAATATGTATGTGTTTAGCAATATATAAGAATGTTTATTGGCAGTCTGGTTACCATAGTTCTCTCCAGAATTTAGGATCAGACAGCCGTAAGTCTGGTATGTCTAAATTTCTATTATTGACTTTCCACTCTCTTTCAGATTCTTGGGATATTGAGAAGGCAAGTAGTAGTAAAAGTGTAAGATATGTGCCAATTCAATTAGAATCTGATCACCCCAGCACATCGACTCCAATTGACACTAAGAATAGAGTGAGAACAGTACCGATTAAACTTATTGAAGTAACAGAGAATGGCCCATCAACACCTGCGAGAAGACCAAGAATGCATACACCAGTTCGGCCTGTTATACATGCCGTGGTCGATGATGATAATGATGATCCAGAGGTAGGCTTTTCGTAAGAATGTGTTATTTTTTTTTTAGTAGTGGTAGTCGTTTACCATCAGATGACTCGTCTGCTCGTTTGTCCCCTATATAATAAAAAAACCTTAAACGAATTCTTTCTTGTGAGTTTTAACTAGATTTTATTTTGGTTTTTAATATTTATTTATAAAAATATAAAATTGCAGTAAAAACGTAAGTACTCACACCCTGCTTTTTTTTTCAAAATTAAACAAATAAAACTAACTACTAAACCCTTTTCTAAATACAAGAAGAATAATTACAAGAATACAACAAAAATACAAGAATTGCTCGTTTAAAGTAATTATACAAAACGAGAACTTTACAAAAGCATTTTATTTAGACTGGTTTTGTTATAGGTAACATGGGTAGAAGCGCAACAAGATAATAAATCTAGAAATCCTAAAAAAGTATACATAGATCTGGATGAGGACGACCCTGATCACGATCAGCAGGACGATGACGTGATCTTTCTGAAGAAGGTGTCTACCCCACCTCCGACCAAACCGTACAAGTACTTCATAGCTAAGAACAGCCATGACTCCACAGACTCGACACAAGAAGAACCTCTGTATGTCAAGTTAAGTCGCAGGTCAACTGACAGGAACATATTAAATATGTCGCCAAAATCTTATAGTAAATTCAAATCACCTCCAGGAATAACTAAAAGTTACAAGAGGGCACCCACACCACTGCCGAAATGGTGGATGCCAACATCTAAACCAACAAGTAATCTCTCGTCACTCAATCGAAATAAATTTTTAGGACTTAATGGTAATGCTAGATCAACACTTTCTGAAGTATTTAATTTAGATGAAAAAAGAAATTATCAGGAACTTATAAAGAGAGTGACCAGCAAATTAAAATCTGTAGAAATAAAGAGACCCGTGGAAATCATCAATCTGGCAGAAGATGCAGCTTCATTTAGAGAGACTCAACGGTTACAGAGGAGTACATTAAGACAAATAAATTCACTAGAGAAAGATTTGCTAGCAGATAAACAGAATAATGTAAAGGAATATGATCCAATCACCGTTGCTTCAATAAACTCCTCAGATTCCGAAGTAGAAATTGTACCCTCTGAATCCTCTACATCATCAGTAAGAATTGATCCAATAAATACACTGAAAGAATCTTATAAGGATAGAGGGATCACATCCAGTGACTGGTTGTCTAAATTAGATACTAAGTATAGAAAAAAGAAACTGGAAACTCAGGAGAAACTTAAAGATGCGCGGCGAGAGTCTGATATAATATCTAAAGTAAACAGTGAACAGAAGTTAGCTCAGTTAGAGCACAAGCTGAAATATGAGCTCAGTATACCAGAAAGTATTTATGAGGAGCCACAGCCAACGGTTGAGCTGCCCCCGTTGACTCCAGAGCAGGAGAAGTTAGTTAACAGAGCCTTGGGCCCTGGTCCACCTGGACAATTACTTGTAGAGAAATTCAACTTGAGGATACATAGGTATGTATATTTTAAATATAAGCTCGGAACATTTTCAAACTATTTTCTGTACAAAAGATACCTTTGATGTGTACCTTGTATCATGTTTGGATGAACAATACCTTAGCTGTATACTGAAATAAACGCGATTGATATTGACAGGGCGTTGAGGACAGGTTCGCTAGATGAGCCAACCAAGCTCCTTCCAGAAGCGCAGAAGCCTCCTGGGCCGTTCATAAGCTTCTAGGAGCCATTTTGTATCAGGAATTATACTTGCTCATGGTGTGGCCACTCCCTCGCATTCCAGGATTACGTGGGCGGCCGTTTCTTCTGCTTTCAGACATCCTCTGCAAAAAGGACTGTCCGTCGCATTACTGGTGAATAGTTGTCGGTTCAGGGCTAGGTGTCCTGTTATAGTTCAAATTCGGATTTCTAGTCTGCTAAGACTGATCAATCTGCAAGTGAGTCGTGGTGTGACTTCAGTCAGCACCAGTTTGGACTGCCTGCAGCCGGGTGAGTTTTTTACCCCCGGCTGTGTGTTTCCCGAGTCCGTTGGTAGTAGCAGTATGGTTGGGCCGGTAGCCGGGGTTGCCGAGCCCCTCCTTGCCAACTCATCTGCGGCGTCGGTCTCGTTTAAATTGCCCTGTGCCTTTTAATCCTTTGGAGTAGTACCCCATTTAATGTGGCTATCTGCTCCAATGCTTGATGGGATTCGAAGTCAATACCAGAGGTCATTGTGTTTTGTCTGACAGTATTCGGATGTTATGGTCCTTAATGCCCTTTGACATGGCCATTGTGGCGGTGTAAAATATTGACTAAAATATACGCCTTCGCATTGGAATATGGAACTGTGTTGGCCTAATGCTAGTGATTCATTCATATTTAGGTCTTGCGAGAAAACTCCGGTTCCAGTTCCTGACCTAGTCTTGGAACCGTCCGTGTAAATTCAGACTTCGTTAATGCCGGAATAATCTCGGTCATTTTCTTTTATCTGAATCTGGTATCTTTTTGTGAAGATATGGTGTTTAGGGATCCTATCGCATCGGGCCGCTATTAGTGGTTCGTATTCCACTAATTGATCCCATAGTTTGGAGTGCGATCCCTCACCTTTATGCCACAGACCCAGGTGTCTGAGTCTGATGATCGCCATCGCGGCCTCCTGCTGTATGAACAAATCCAGTAGGTGGCAGACCAAGAGCCACCTCCAGTGCGGTGCAGTAAGGCGACCAAGCCATAATTAATACTATTTATGTTTCAGGCGAGACCTGCAAACTCTGTCAGGTCTCAATTGGCTAAACGATGAAATAATAAACTTCTACATGAACCTGCTGATGCAGAGGAGTGAAGAACGTAAGGATCTGCCAAAAGTTTACGCCACCAATACTTTCTTTTACCCCAAGTTGATGCAGAGTGGACAAGCTGGACTCAGACGGTGGACCAGGAAGGTGATTACAACAATATAATTATATATTAATGTCATGTGTAACGCTGAGTCTTATAATAAGTATTTTAACTGCTTTCTAAGGGTCATAAAAACAATTAAAAAAATATTTTGTGCCCACTGTTGTACATATGTTTGTGCCACTGGTACTCCGACGGATCCCGGGCCATCTACGACTTGTAGGTGACCCCCTCGTACACACGTGCGGGTACAAAGTCACTACGTTCTACTGAACGGGAACACCGTGGTTGCTACACGGTAACCACGGTGTTCCCATTCTTCTCCCTAAAGGGCGCACGCGCTCTACAGCGCGTCGCGTCGCCAACCCGATCTCCTTCTGCTAAGGTGACAGATGGCCTCACCTGTCAACCTCAGGCCTTATGGAGGACGGAGGTCGTTCAGTGGATCCATCCCTGGATCCACGTCCTGTTTCGTATTTTGAAGGCTAATAAATTGTCGGTGCACTATCAAAGTGTGGAGTCTCTCTTCTACCAATATGATGTTTTTAAAATAAGTTGTTTTGTGCAATTGTTGGTGTGAATCAGTCAACAGTGACGTCTTACCATCAGGTTTTGCGCTTATTTAGCAGTTGCCACATATTTCACATGGGGGACGCAACCAAGCATGGTATGGAAACTTGTGTACAAACTAGAAAGATTATAATAAAAAAACAATCGTTTTATATGTACACATAAAGAGGATATTAATAAATAATAAATTTGGAATCATATTATTTGTTTAGAGCAAAGATAACACTGACCATTTCTAAAAGAAATTAAAGATTGGGTCAGACAGCGAACGGGGCGAAACGGCGACATAGCGTGAGTGGTTAAAAAGTACTATCGCCGAACGCGAGGGCTCTATGCTTTTGTGTGACATTTTCTATAATATATGAATAAACAACAACCTGCTCATAACACCCCGCCGACTGTCTGACTCAACCATTATTTTCCATAATATTTTTAGATATGTTCCAATCAGTCAAGACCTTAACATGGAATTTCTAACTTACAGGTGGACATATTCGCGCACGACCTTATCATAATTCCAGTTCACTTAGGCGTCCATTGGTGCCTCAGTATCATTGATTTCCGAGCGAAGAAAGTGTCGTACCTGGACAGCATGGGGGGACGCAACCAAGCTTGCCTTGATGCTCTCATGCAGTATTTAAGGGATGAACACCAGGATAAGAAGGGGGCACCCTTTGATGATAGCGGGTGGAAAGCTGAGTGTCTAAAAGTAAGTGGAATAATGTGTTAAAATTAAAGAAAAATATGTCGGATCATTATAGCATTAATATAAATATATATATATATATATATATATCACACATCTCACACACGACCATCTGATCCCAAACTAGGCAGAGCCTGTACTATGGTAACCAGACTGCTGATAAACATACTTATATATTTTTAAATACATACATATTATAGATAAATTACACCCAGACACAGAACAAATGACCATGCTCATCACACAATATTTGTCCTGGGTGGGAATCGAACCCACGACCTCCGGTTTAGCAGTCAGGGTCACTAACCAATTGACCAACAGGCCCGTCCAATGTTTATTATTTTTGTTATTTTTATAAATAATATTACAATTTGATTTATTTTGTGGAACCACTTTATTTTTAACATGAATTAATAAAAATGGTACTAAAACCCAATAAGCGGTTCACGCCGACAGAGCGTAAAAAAACATGCGCTGTTAAATCATAATACACCTTCTCAAAAATTGTTTTTTTTGATTGGTACACAAATTAAATTTAAAAAATCCCGACTCACATCTTGGATTTGAAATTTGTCATAGTGTATAGTATTCTACTAGTTAAGCTCTTTCATTTGATACCCTTAATAGGAAGTTGTGAAAAAATGTATAATCTGCCATTTTGTGGCGGCGGCCATCTTGGACATCTTTTCATCAAACATACCTAAGAACACTCCCGACTAATTCACCTTTCAAACAAAAAAATTAAAATCGGTTCATCAGTTCGGGAGTTACGACTTCAGAGACAAGCACACACACACACCTCAAATGTATAACATGTTTTAGAAATATATGTAGTAGTAAAAAGTATTTCTGAACATTCAACAGACAATATGATAATTTGTTAAATACTGTTTCAAAATATCAGTTGTTAATTATCTGCTAGTCATCATGTCTGAACTTATTATTATTAATATAAATCGTTTTTCAAACTCAAACTTTCTTTATTTCATAAAATTTCCAAAATTGTTTGAAATCATCACACACAAAAGCAACAATCTCTGTTTTGTCAAATAGGAAGCAAATAAATTTAACAAAAATCAAACCCATACAAAATCTATGATATGCCTGTGCCGATCTACAACCGCCCGTTACAAAGGGGTTGAGCCTTATGAGAAGAAAGGGGGCAAACAAACTCATGGCCCCTCTTTTGCAATTCACAGGTCACATTCAATTCACAATGGCACTATTAAATATACCACAACATTGTTTTACTTTCCTATGACTGATTTTTTTTATAATTATTTAATTATCTGTGTTAAAGAGAATATTTCAAAGATCACGGGTAACTTTCTCAGCAAAGCTGAAAATTTGTGTTAGGAGAGGGTTCCCGAGCTGTGTATGCAGCTGCGTTCTATCGTTCTATGTAATCATAGTGTGAACAGTAGAATCGAAGAATCACTGCAGTGAGCTATGTCGGTATCGTTGCAGGACATCCCGCAGCAGATGAACGGCAGCGACTGCGGCATGTTCGCGTGCACGTTCGCGGAGTTCTCGTCGCGCGGCGCGGCCTACTCGTTCTCTCAGGCGCACATGCCCTACCTGCGCCGCAAGGCCGCGCTCGAGGTGCTGCGCGCGCGCCTGCTGCTCTAGTGCGAGTGTGTGTGTGTGTACAGTGTGTGTGACAGTGACTCTCTCCGAGTAATACTTGAGACATTCGATTTAAGGACGTACTTCCAGATCAAACTTTGAACACTCGTGATGTTTATCTCATACTGAACCCTAAGTGAGTATATTCATTTGTCTAACTAAAAGAAATGATTACACCGAATTCATTATGCAGATTTGACGTGACTCAAAATTTAAAAATATAATTTTTTTTGTTAAAATAAACACAGAAACTGACACAGCACTTTTACACTCAATTAAACCATATGCTTCTATCAATTCAAGAAAATTAAATGCAACATAGCACCGGTCAATAAAAATATGTGTAGTATTATAAGGAAACATTATAATTTATAAAAAATAAATTTGTTTTTATAAATAATATACATATATATTGTATTACAAAGCTGGGATGCTATACCTCACTCAATAACCATCTCCTTACCCAACTAAATTTCATTGCAAATTATAACACTGCAAAGAGTTTTGGCTAGCGTCCCTTATGACCTGTGACCCGCCTCCCTGAAATTCCATAAAAATGTAAACATCTTTAGAAAATGTAAATTATGGAATAAGGAAATGGATAAAACTTGGGAAAAAATGGAGCTAGAGTACTATTTCAGTCAAGAACTATCTTTACAAGTATAGTCAACATTTAATCGTTCCTTGGAAAAGCCATACTTCAAAACAAATAGACCGGCTAAACCGGCCTCACAGAAAACCGGTGTTAACAGTGGCTTAGCTACCATAGGGCTAGGCGGTGCTGTGCACTGGGCTCCCAACCTTAGAGGGAGACCAGACCCTTTCTAGAGCCCCATTTTTTTTTTACACTAGTGCCTGCTTATAATAAGCTACACCTCTGGGTGTTAAGGAATTATTTCGTTGCTTTTCAGTGAGTGTGAGAGTTTAAAACTGCATAAACTTCCTCCTCCCTCTCGTCCTGTCCCTCTGATTCTGGGCGTTGCTCGTTTGCTTCCCTATACCTTAAAAAACAAAAATATCTAATTAAATTAAGATTAATTTTTAATTAATTAATTAACAACATAGTTTAGAAAGTAATTACTCAATTCTGCTGACAACACTAGTTTTGAAATTGAGCTGTAAATACGTCCTTAAATACTGGTAACACTGAACTCAGATATTTGATATAATAAAATAAATTGTACTTTATTAATCTTAGTTTATGACTGAACATTGTAACGTGATCCCGAAGACGGACATTCAGTTCTGTCCATGTTTAAAACTACTGAAGTAATGAAGGTTGCTTGGTGATAATTAAAATCAATATCAGAATTGTACAAAAAATCTTTAAAACTTATTGTTCAACATGCGTTTATATTTAAAATGTATATTCCTTTCCTAGATAAGCAGTTCGAGGGTAGAAATAAAATAGAAGCAGTGATGTGCAGCACATCCACGGATATCAGATAGCGAAAAAACTCAAACTCATAACTCATCTTTATTTCATAAAATTGTTTAATTTTTTTTTTATGTAGACTCTTAAAGTCATAAATTAACAGACACAATAGCAACAATCTCTGGTTTATCAAATATTTAGCAAAATAAATACAATATAATAATATCGAAAATCTATTTCTTTATATCTAGCCTGTGCCGATCTACAAACACCCGTTTCCAAGGAGTTGAGCCTTATGAGAAGAAAGGGCAAACAAACAAACAAAAGTCAAAAGATCTGTATCTCTTAGGTATCCATAGTATTTTGATAAAATTAAATATTCAAAGTTGTTTTACTAATGCTATCCACAGTTTAAGGTACCATTTAACTATCTTTATAACGAGATCAGTCCTCAAATATTTGTGATACGTGGTTAATAATCAGGCGCAATGCAAGTCCAAACATTTAATATTATTTGGGCAAAGCCAGTGCCGTGGGAGAGCCATGTTTCGGTACATAGGCCGGCTCGACCGGAGTGGAGGACCACGGCCTCACAGAAAACCGGTGTTCTTGCATTGCGTTTCACTGAGTGAGTGAAGTTACCAACGACCAAGAACCTCCCGCAGCCCAGTCTGGGTTGGCCCCTAGACCATAAAAAAAAAACAGTGGCACTCCGAGACTGCCGACAGAAGTGAAAACTTATATACAGAGGTGTCGGTAACGGAAACAGTTTCGCGAGTTAAATTGTTTTTTCCATCTCGAAAAATGCTCAAGCGCCTAAAGAAGTTTTCACTACAACAGAGGTGTCGCTAACGGTAAAGGTAACATTGGCGCGACTTCAATGGAACTATCCGGCACATCATTAAACACAAACACATAGCCCGATGAGATATATAAATTGTTTTAACTTACGTGACTTCTAAGATGTATAAAACCAGATTTAATTGCGGTAACATTCATAAGGACGACCTTTGATCATTATGCGCAATCACGTTCAGAACTGCATGCAAGCCTATAAATCCCGTGAACATTTGAAACCAATTTAATAAAAAATATACTAGATGGCGTTAGTAGTTTTTCTTACTCACGTTTACAGCAGTATCTCTCGCATTTTCGGATAAGTTTTGGCCATGATTATACAAAGCCATTAATTGTGCTTTAATAGTAATTTTAGTAAATTAGTTTAACTACACTTAAGAAACAAAAACTTCTATCATAAAAACAAAAATGATGATGGCGAACGCATAAACCAGCAAGTCATTAAAAACCAAACTACCCACCATAATAATATATTCGTTATGGTATTTGATGGAAAATAATAACATAAATTAAATCTATTGTATTTTTGTTATTATTATAGTGTAATTACCTGCAAATTAGTTAAAATTAGTGTAATAAAAGTAAAACTCAATTGAGCATCTGGAGCAACTCAAAATCTGGAAGTAATTTTATTGAAGTTTTATATTAGTACAACGCCATCTAGTAGGTCCAAAATGTTACATGTATGATAGCATCAGATGGCATTCATTATATCAGTTCCTTCTATTTTCATTTCGTAATGTCGATGCATTTCTTCAACCTACTGCAGCTGTAGGCTCTGTCTGATAACAAAACTGGTTTTAGCATGGGTTCACTTCGGCCATTTTTCGAGTCCTAATCAAATAACTATGTATCTATGTTATATATGTACGATAATTATTTGATTACCCAACTTTTCGATCAAATCACAGCGATCGGTGTCACTGTGTCCACTGATGTAGATTTCCCAGTGTTCAGTACCTATAAATTTAATAAAAGCATATTTTCTAAATAATTTTGGATATAACAGATTTAGAGATAGATCGACATTTTTATATTTTGCAAACAAAATAATTTAACAGGAAAACTAGGTCAAAAGAATGTGTTTTGTCATAAAATTAGTGATTACGTTTGTGCGTTGATTCAACAAACACAACGATGGAAAGACAAAAAAAGAGTAAAAAATCCCAATTAAATAATCACAAATTGCACAAAGATCGAAGATAAGATTATATAAACTCTAACCGCCTTATTAGAAAGCCAGGATTAACAAAAAAGGTTTAAGACATACTGGTAGCTATTCAAATAAAATCTATGCTTATAATCGTAGTATGGTTTTACTCATAGGTGTATGCAAGTTCGCGGTTGCAAACCTTCGGCGTCGGTTTTAAGCGCTGCACCCGTCTTGACCCCGTACCCCCGGATCTGAATGCTCGGCTCTTTATCATCTCCTTATCCTATCATTTGGGGTCGGGTCTCCTTACCTTCCTGCGCCAAGTCAAATATATTACTAAAATTATTGTAGAAGTTTAAAACATGGACAAAATGTCAGTTTTTAAGTCTGAAATGATTGTTTATATATAAGTGTGTATGTGTGAGTAAGATTTTTTGTTATGCTACCTACGTTAATATATGTGAATGGCCGATAGATGGCGTTTAAAACAAAATTGAATATAAGTTTGTACAAAGAACGGTTGGCCGTTGAAATTGCCCCTAAATTGTAATATTGTAGAGTGTGGAAAATTATAAAACCGTAACTCACTATCAAATATTAAATACAACAATTAAGCAGTCTTCCATCATAAAATAATGTTACAATGTAAACACTCACTTTAATTTTTTACCTTCTAAGCTTCAGTGCATAAGACACTAAAAAAGTTTTACACAAGGGATCCGGTAATCAAAGCTTAGGTCAATATAGTAAGGTGGCAAATAATCACCATATAAAAGCAACACTTTAACTTTGCAGTAGTACACAGTTTTCCTTTTCAAGATAACCTGATTGTTGTCAGCTGGCCAAAAGTAATGCCTTAGAAAATATGTGCAGTAATGTGGCATGTCAGATATCTGGACAATCCGTTGCCACTAAGCCCATTGGTTACTAACAGATATTACACAAGATACCAAGAAGAAACTAAACATTCGGTATTTGTTAAAAGAAACTTTAAATTATAGCAATAAGATGGCATTTGGAACAACCACAGAGCTAGTAGTGTGGAACATGTCCTCAGCTCTCGCATACCAGTTCTGACAAGCATTCTCTTAGTAGGATAGACCTGTTAACAATTGAAATTAAAATAATGTCTTCTCCAATGTAAGTCAATATTAGCATAGAAACTCCCAGATATATTAAAATGATTAAAATGTATGAAAGATGAACAAATTGTATTACTCTTACAACATATTTATGTTTGAAAGTGCGTTTACGGTTTAATATTTAAGCAATAACTGACAGCCTTTAAGAAATCGTTAAGAATGTGTAAATATTAATTACTATGATCAGTCTTCTTCCAGTTTCTCTTTCCATTTGTTAAGAAACAGAGATATTAAATGAAATATATAAAGTAGACTCCCTTTATGATAGTTTTTAGTGACAGTTGCTTTGAATATATTGCACTTAAAGCTTTAAGTTTTTATTTTAATTTACCAAGTATGTACTTCCTCGTTCATTTGCGAAAGATACGTTTCATGTTTTCGTATAAAATGAGTGATTGTTTTGTAAATTAATTATAGCAGGTTCTAAATTCTCGGCTAGGAGGAACTATAAAGAATAAATGGCGGGAAACATAGTGGCTTTTGTCATAAATGTATCTTGAATTTGATTTAAATGTAGACCAATAGTAGGGTTGTCGAGAATACTCGTAATTTATGTCCGAACATTGTGTACGTGAGTCCACGGGCGTAGGGACGGTGGGGTATATACCCTGGTCAGTAACCGAAAAATGCTTTATCGAAATAAGAAATAATTGTAAAATACTTTAAGTAAGTACCTACTAAGGACTAATCTTTGGTACTGACTGAAAAACGTTAAGTCATAAATAAATAAAGCTGGCATTTTGCTAAATATTATACTTTCCTGGTTTTTGCCCCACCCTGAAATGAAAGCTATCTGCGCCCTTAACTGAGTGAATATAAAAAAAATCTAAGTACTTGAATAAGTTAAGATTGTCTTATTAAAAAGATTAAATGTATGTAATTTGTGTATTTTTTCTTTAATAATAAAAAAAATTGCTTTACAATTTGACTAGGAGGCTAAAAAATTCGCAACACATACATAAATTAGGCTGTACAAGTAAAATTGTCACATTGGAAATTGTGTCGCATAATACCTTAACCGAAATTCCGGTTTTTGTACAAATTGGCTTAAATTCAAAATAAATCTTGTTAAAACTCTTCCATACTTTAATAAATCCTCGGAACTCTATAATGTACTAATTTTATAGTTGCCTTAATTGCCTTTAGAAGAGAATAATTGTCATTTGGAGAAAGTCTGTTGTATTTTTTTTTTCCTTTATTTTAAAAGACAACTCCCGCATTAGGAATATCTCCTGTGTCGCGGGGGACTTTACAAACATACATGAAACGGACACAAAGACTCAGAACAACAATTTGTAGATCACACACAAAGTGTCGTCCCTTTCATGTGGGGATCGGACCCACAACACTCAGCGTAGTAGGAAACGGCGTGTGCAGTGTAGTTGGTGATAATATGTATGCACAGACAAAAATTAAAAAGTAATTGTTATTCTTACACTTAAAGTAACTCACCGTAGAGTTAATTTAGCAACTCTACTTTATGGTTTCACAAATATAATTTAAAAGAGGAACATGATAAAAAGACAGATTTATTCAGAACAAATGTTAAAAATCGTTTTGCGTTTATTTATATACAATTTATGTGTGTTTGATTGTAGATATATTTTAGTAAGTGTAATTAAATTTTGTCTATGGTAGGTATATTAATTAAACCAAAAAGGTTCGATATTTATGTAAGATCATTTGAATAGTTTACATAACTTGATATAATGTTTATTAACGTGTCAATAATGAGTTTCCTGATGTGTGTCTGACCAATTTTCAGAAACATAAGTATTATAGAGATATAAACATACATATAAATAAATAAATAAATAAACCCATTACGTATGGGATAAATAGATATTTTAGACTTGCAATGTAAGTCCATATTATACAAAGTGATACAAAAACTATGTACTACTATGTATACCACGTGAATAGCGTAGAGCGTTAAGATACTCGTATTCTACTTTATAATTGACCGGTTCAGTTAAAATTTAACATACAATTATGACGTCATATCTTAGTATTGCCAAAGTATTTAACGAGAATATTTAGTTTAACAATTTAAAATAAATAAGAAATTTGAAAACTTCATTTCACGAGGACTTGTTTACACAACTATTTTAATGTTTTCGCTTTGCTCTTAAAAAGGGGCATCACTCGGGTCCAAGACTACTCGGACCATAATAAAACTATATATCTTTAATAAGTACGAAAGTCGTTATAAAAATTTATTCAATTATTCAATGGCGGTTAAACAAAAGATGGCCACGTATCTATAACTTACATATTTATTATCTGTCTTTTTGTCATGGGCGGTTAGTCCTAGATAAGGTATTTCTCTGTATTATAAAGTTATAAATAAGTCGATAACTTAATCAGTATGATTGTAATTTAGATGTGTTCTAGGAACTGCAAACAGTTACCTCAAGTTTTCTAAGTGATGGAGTAATAAATAAAAGAAATTGAATTCGTTCGTATATTTTATTGAATTGTATATCAAAGATAATGCTTAGTTACAATTTACGGCGATAATTTACCTTCTAGTTGATTCAGGAGAGTTGATAAATATTAATAATAATAATCGTTTATTTTTCTCTCTGAAACAGAATAGTTACAATTATTCCATCTCAAACTAGGTGGTTAGTGAATCTGTTTATTAATTCACGTACGTTTAATGTTTTTTGCGAAAATATTTTAAGCAGTAGGTATTTTTTAGATAAATATTTATTTAGGTATAATCAGTAAATAGATACTCGTTTTTATTCAAAGTTGTCTTTTAACAAATCAAGACTATTCTGAACGCGAAAAGGACTCTGTACTCATAATTTCGTATGAACATTTCCAAATATTGTTATACACCTCAGTGACCGCTCAATACTCCTGAAATTCTAAGTGCGTATGACTGATGAGTCATTATAAATGGTATTTATCAACTCCCTGAACACTAAACACATGAAACAATCAATCGATGGTAACTCTCAGCAGCCTCAGCTTCCCCCCCTCAAGGAGAGCGACGCCGGAATCGTTGGAGCCGCCGCAGTAGTGGTACGACGAGAACACCGTGATGAGCCGACCTCGGAGCTGACACTATTGAATTATTTAATTAACTATACAAACTAGAGGTAGATACAATAATTTTTTTATAGTAATAGATAAGGTTTTTTAAGTAAAACCTTTACTTTTGAAAAGCAAAAAAAATAATGAATGATGTTTTTGGGATAGGGAAAACCCATTGATCTCGAGACACTGTTACCGTTACCGACACGTCTGTTTAAGTGAAAACTTCTTTAGGCGCGTTAGGCAGTTTTTGAGATAAGAAAAAAACATTGGACACGCGACATTGTTACCGTTACTGACACCTCTGTATATAAGTTTTCACTTCAGTCGACACTCCCGCAGTGCCACTATTTTTTTTATATGATAGGGGGCTAACGAGCAGGCAAATCACCCCCCCCCCCCCCCCCCCGCCGCTCCCTCTCCCCAAAATCAGGGGCAGAGGAGGTGTGTTTCATTATCGTCGATTGCATGGTTGTCATAGTTGTTTAAGCGGTCGCCACGCCGCTTCCTGCTACGCTGACTCTTGTGGGTCCGATCCCTACATGGGACAACACATTGTGTGATCCACAAATTGTTGTTCTGAGACCGGGTGTCCTTTGTGTCCGTTTCATCTATGTTTGTAAAGTCCCCGCGACACAGGGTATATTCCTAATGCTGGTGAGTCTAAAGTCTAAAGGTGTAGTCTTTAAAAAAAAAAAGAATAGCACCGGTTATAAAAAAAATCCTTAAAACACTTAAGAAATAAAAACCCATATTTAAAGCAGTCCAAAAATCGGGTAACAAATATAATAACCATAAAGCCATTCTGATGCAGTTCATGCGCTCGCAGCACGTGTGACAGTCCATTGGAGAGCAGGAATCGGTCAAGCGCCGCCTGATTGAATACGTGTCCAGTGCCTCGCTTGGAGTTCGCTGCGAAGCCCTCGTTAGCGGCTAACTCTAGTTGAAGGGTCGCTGTCATTTTGTTCGGCCTTGATAACATTTTGAAATATTTTATTAATCTGATTTTACGCAAGATATTTTTATATAAAAACGTTATATATTGGTTACCAATAAACTATTTATTTAGTAAAGACAACCAGCTGTTATTATTTAAAAGTTATTTTTACTAAAAAAATAGGTTAAATGCACAGCGTTTTAAAGAGTCACAATATGCACCAAAAAAACATCAATGAAAATAAAAAGTAATCAACAAAAATATGTAAAATTAGCAAAAGGTAAGTAATAAAATTAAAAAACAAAATTAGGTAAATACTAAGTATTTTGTATCTATTAAAGGCTAAGGTTTAACAATTTCAAAAAGCTTTCTTGTAAGTGTGTAACCAATCTGTGGAACGGGCTATCGTCTGCGGTATTTCCGGACCGTTACGACCTTCAAACCATCAAGAAAAGAGCGTACTCCTTCCTAAAAGGCCGGCAACGCGTTTGTGACTCCTTAGTTGCAGACGTTTATGGGCGGCGATGGTCACTTTCCATCAGGTGACCCGTCTGCTCGTCTGCCCCCTCTGACATGAAAAAAAAAGAAGTGTGTAGTTTGTCGGCAAACACATCCACTTCTCCAGAAATGGTGTTGTAGGTTTTGGACAAGCGGCATGTGGTTGAAAATTGCTTCAGATGGGTTCTGACAAACGGCTGATGCAGCAACCAGGCATTTCCGAGCGCTCGCCTGGTTACTCGACGTGGGACACACAAGCTAAATGAGTTTAAAAGTGATGGACAATCAAACTCGTTCCTTAATACATTGTATACCTTGTAAAGAAACGTCATGTAGTGGACTTGCCTGCGAACTGACAGAACGTCTATTCCAAAATGTTTAAGTTTTTTTGTGGTACCTCTTAAGTTGTTTATGGTAAGGTAAGTGTCTGAGGATTCTTTACTGTATGCGTTCAGTGGCAGATTATCCCTAAGGTAAAGTAGGCACGTGCCACGCGAGGATACAAAGGATACAACAAAGAAAAATATATGCCTAACATAAAAAGAAATGTGTCAGTAAGTATGCACATAATTACAATATAAACAATTCTTTGATTCCATAGACATGTTTAGGGTTGACATCATCATCACATTTTTAAATTTAAGCTTATAAATCTTAGGTCGAATTATCTTTGCTTTATCGAAGTATCTTTGTTCGGTTTGCTGGTATATAGCAGTTAGGTATAATAAACGATAAGGATTCTTTGTCAATTGCACACTAACTTGATAGGATCATTCCACAAAAGCTCCCACGCTATTGAACTCTGTTCGGCTGGCTTCGGAAGTGGTACGGGCACCTTGTCAATTGCCGATATCAAGGGACACACCCAGGGTGGCGGTATACCTCCGTGACAACAGAACACCTGGACACGCAATTCACGCAAATGATTTCTAACGAAAACCAACTAAAAAAGTATAGTAATATAGTATATATGTATAGTAGGTCCGACAGTATCCCTTTATGTTGGAGGGAGATAAAAAAAACATCATCACACATAAAGTTGGTCAAAATGATTAAATATATAAAAATGGTGTCTGTTTAAAAAAATACCCTTGGCTTTGGCGACCGTGTGTGAGGAGTCTAAGTTATAATTATTTAATCACAGCTTGTATTATTTGAACTTTCTTTGGCTGGCTTCGGTAGTGGTACAGGCACCTTGTAAATTATCAAGGGACACACCCAGTGTGGCGGTTTACCTACGTGACAACAGAATACCTGGACACGTAATATATATGCTTTTTGCAGATAGATTATTAGATTTTAGATTTTTTTATCTTATTGATTTGATGCAAATGAGTCAATATTCTAGGTAGGGTAACGTGAAACCATGGCGCTAATTCCTGGGTAGTTTGACTCGGATTGGCTTTCACCATTTCCTTCAATTGAGCGACATTCACCTGATGTCATTTAGCAGTATTCATATTATTTACTATGCTTTCTTTCTAATTGACTAAGTTTTATCTTATTAAATAGATACGTAGTGCTATATGATAACCAAAGATATAGGATAATACCTTTTCATCAACAACTGCAGCCAAGGGTAACGCGTCGAAAACATTGTTTATAGCATTCCATATCTTCACACCTTCCGCGTCGCCATATTTTGAGACACATTCACTGCAGAAGATATAACTTAATTACTTGCTAAGTTAAGGTAACCAAGGAATTTAAAGTTATAGTTCCTGGACCAATGAGGGTTTTCGATATTTTTTCTGCCACCAGACGGCGCTTCGCATGCGTCAGGTCCAAACAGCTGTCAGATAGCACAGATTCTTACCGAACGTATATTTTTTTAGTGAAATTCTATGAATTTGGAAGTGTTATTGAGTTCATTATAGATTACGGCCAGAGAAAGGTTGCCGAACTGAAGATTGAGCTCAAAAAGAGAGGCGCAAAAGTTTTATTTGCACACATAGGCACTGCACAACACCGTGGCATTTTAGAAAACAATATTCCTTTTGTAACGTTTTTAAGAATGAATAAACCAAAAAAATTATCGAAAAATACAAATCGTGTATGTGTTTTGACAGGTGGTTGGACCTGACGCTACAGTGCTGCCATCTCACGTGGAACATTTCAGAAAACCCTCATTGTTTCCATACCTTTTGGATAGCTTATATCAGTCATATGAGGTCACACTAATATGGTACATTAAAAATACTAGACAGAGGTTACCGAATACAAATCATCTAAGGAGGGCCTGCCTTGCAGAGACTCCTGTAAACTGTTAAATTTTCCATTCACAAAATTACAAAAAATAAGTAATATGATCAAAAACATATTATTAAAATGCTATTAGCATTTAAAAACAGCATTGCAGAGAGAAGGAAAACTTGACACAAGCCCTATACCAACCCATCTGGCCACCGTGGTATGGTAGGCTAAAACCTCCTTTCTAAGGAGAGGCCTATGACCAGCAGTGGACTAGTAAAGGCAGTTGATGATGATTAGCATTTAATAGGTTCTCTTTTCAGAATGCATTTCTTTATAGTTTAATCTGAAAATCTTCTGGTTAGTGTAAATAATACCCACATATAAATATGCGAATAAATTAAGCATGATTATCTGCTAACTTATAAAACGTAAACATCTTCTGTATATCCCTGGTCTCGTGATTCCCTCTAAGGAGAAGTACAGCAGCCGGCCGCTGAAGCTTAGCGGCGAGTAAGTACGCCATCAGCTCAGCTCCATGGGCCCCCCGGTCTACGAAGTCCCCCAGGAAAAGGAGCCGCGCAGCAGACACCACCGCCCCTCCTGACCAGAGAGCTGATTCCATTGATAGGAGAGCTCCTAAGTTGCCGTGTAGATCACCTACAAATATTAATTAAAAGGAATTCTGTTTGCTTTTGCATTGCATTGCATTACATTGCTTTTTTATGACAGAGAGGTATTTATGTATTAATTGTCTTCCCGTTAATTTGTTGTAATATACGAAGATTATAAATGGAAAATATATGGTAACCCTACTATTATACGCTTAAAAGAGAATAAGATTTTATAATTTAAACATAAGATTGTCATCTTTATGTTTAAATTATAAAATCTTAATTTAACATTAATTCCTATGTCATGAATAAGTTTTTTTTGTATGTTAGAGGGGGCAGACGAGCAGATTTGTTTATTATAATTTTAACTTCATACATCTCACACACAGTCTAAACCTATCTAGGCAGAGCCCGTGCTATGATAACCAGACTGCTGATAAATGACTGCACGGATGGCGTAGTGGTTTAAGCGATCGCCAAGCCGCTTACTACTGCGCTGAGTGTTGTGGGTTCGCACGGGACAACACTTTGTCACAATCTACAAATTGTTGTTCTGAGTCTGGGTGTACTTTGTATCCGTTTCATGTACATTTGTAAAGTTCCCCGCGACACAGGATATTATATTCCTAATGCGGGAGTCATCTTTAAAAATTAAAACATGTATTTCTAAATACATACATATTATTGATAAATTACACCCAGACACAGAACAAATGTGAGAATCGAACCCACCACCTAGAGCTTAGCACTCAGGGTCACTAACTACAATATCAACAGGCCCGTCAAATATTAGTAGGTAACTTCAATAAAGATACGAAGAGAAAACGAAAAGGGATATTATACACAATGTTGTTTTTCTGAAAATTATAATTATTAAATCCTGCTTTAGTAATGTTTTGATGAATTCAAAGAACCTGTTATAAACTTCAGAGTACAGTGTGCTTTGTTTGGGTATAGGGTGTGCGTTGCCCCAGCGGAAAAAGTTTTTTTTGTTGTTTTTGTTGTTGTTGTTTGTTTTGTTTCCAATTTTTATTGTTTAAGTTTAACAGATATTTAGTGTATGACGTCGTGTTATTGTGTATGGTAAGTAAAATTTGTGCATCCAACCATTGCGGAGTTATTCACGAAAAACTGTTTCTAGATTCTCAAAATTCTAACCAAATTCAGAACAACGTATGATAAACTCTACAGCACTCTAGAAAAGCGTTTTATATGAAATCTAGCAAATGACCAAACGTTGTCGCAGCGGAAACCTGAATATCTTCGCAGTTTATTTACGCACAAATTTCATTTAAACACACACAATTACCTCACGTCATACACAAATTTTTGATACCATTTTTTTTCTTCCACGTCCATAAGATTAAAAATGTTTTTCCTGAATAACTCCCCAATGGTTGGACGCACAAATTTTTACTTACCATACACAATTACACGACGTCATACACTAAATATCTGTTAAAATCAAATAATGAAATTAGAACTTTTTCCGCTGGGGCAACGCACACGTATAGATGGCACTATAACACGTGTAATATGCCCCAGAACATTATTATTTAGTAGAAGTAATGGTTGTAGCAAGTGACTTCTTTTACCAACGACGTAACATGGAGAGTTGAGACGCAGAAGTCTCGGTTCCGCAGCGCATATGGGGCGTACCGCTTCAGCTAGCCGCAGCAGCAAGGCTCCTAGTGCAGCTTCTTCGCTGGGATTCGCCCATGCCCACGCTGGCTTAGCCATTATCATACTGCTGTTTTGTCCAATCTCTTGCGAGTTGCGCTTTTAGAAAATGATAAATGAATATTAGGAATTGCAGTCTATCATTGCAAAAAATATTTTTTTATGTCATGGACGTATAGAAAAAGTCGTACACTGTGTCTGTCACAAAAACTGTGTCACTCGTAGTCGGCCAGCTTGCTGTATGTACAATCCGGTACGCACACTTACACACATTAGTCGGCCACTACGCTCGCAAACATCAAGACAGCGAAACGCGTTACGTAACCGTATTGAGCAAAAGAAAAAATATCCAGGAATCACGTTTTATAGGTAAATCAATAATTCAATCACTTATTTCCAGATTATACATTAAAATTAATCAACATTCGCTAGAACAAAAGTATTAATTATGAGCCCAGTGTTGATAATTTTCATGTGTGCTAATTACCCGAAACAAAGGAAATTTTTGGTTTGTTATTAAAATCAATTTATTAAGGTTATTTATTTCATAGTTACTACTAAATAGGTATACTAACTATTTCATATTCTTTTACTTTTCTAAGGAAAATTGAGTATGGGGAAAGGATTGGATTTAAATAATTATAAATTGTATGGTAACACAACACAAACACAAAAAGACAACATAAATATATTCTCATAAAAATTCTAGAAAAGCTTTTTGGCTATGATAGCATTTTTTAACTTAGAATCTGAACATACTTTTGTCGGAATAGAGCACAAAAAAGTAAAATTTCGAACAAATAAAATATTTTTATTTATTGACTGTGTTTTAAGGGTATAAATGTGGGTAACTTGGCAACCCCAAAATTCATTCACACACACACACACACACACAGAGAGATGCTTACGGTGCCTCAGTTTTGTATTAGCGAGAGTTGCGACCGACTTTTTTTATACGTCCATGGTTTATGTTCGAATAAGTATTTTCAAGAGATTTCAACTTACGCAATCTACTATGAGTACTGGATGTAAAACAAAGTATTGTAAAAATAACTAAAATAATTGCAAATTACTTAATGATATAACAATCGATGGAAGAGGTAAGGCCCGGATAACCTTCAAGCAAGGTTTACGTTGAAGTTTTAAACGTTTTACATTACGAAGATGATGAAGTTAAAAGCATTTAAGAGTGTTGTACAGGTAAATTAGCTTGGAGAAATTTTTGCGTTTGTAGTAGTGTATGGTACGGACAGCGTAAACTGGTTTATTCTGGTTTTGTGCGTGTTTCCACTTTCCACTATCAAGTGACGATTTTTTGCTTTAGATTGAAATATCTCGGTAACGGTGCGTCCTAGGCCAAAAATAACAAAAATTTTGACCCCCCCGTAGACCTCCCGGAGTTTTAAAATCTAGATGAAAACCTAGATGAAAGGAAAAAAAATAAAAATTAAATATCGGTCTCTCCTCTTTGAAGTTTCACTTCTATCGTGTGTGAATCGCACACACACCTTTTTTTTTATAAAGTCAAAACCTTTTTCTTTAAAATAAAAACTTGTTTTTACTGAAAACAAAAATCAGAGTGTTGCTAGGGATAAGAATAAAATTAAATAGTAATGTTAGGATATCGAAACATTTTTGTATAGGCCAGAACGATTTAGTGGAAACGCGCTCTAAGATCTGAGTAATATACACACCACTACATATGCAAAAATTTCTCGAGACTAATTTCACTGTAATCTGGTGTTGTCCGTGTGGTGACGGATTAAGAATACGGAATGTCACCATCCCTGTTCATCCAATGGGTGTCGAAAAGAGACTAAGGGAGCAAACTGCGCAGGACAACGGCACTGCAAAGAGAAGGAAAACTTGAAACAAACCCTATACCAACCCGTCTGGCCAGCGTGGTATAGTAGGCCAAATCCTTCTTTTTAAGGAGAGGCCTATGTCCAGCAGTGGACCGTTAAAGGCTGTTGATGATGATGATGATGAAGCTTTAGGAGCGTTTGTACTACATTTATGTTACATTATCTACATTAGCTTTCTCAATAGCCGTCGCGAAGTAATGAACCGCCGCCAACGCCTCGACTGGAAGCGAACCCGGGCCGAGGACATCGAGTGACTGCGTTATGCCGCTCAACAAGCGGATTGTTGATGGGGTCACCGCATCCTCTGTATTACAAATACATCACATTAATTTCGTAATTTTATCGCCAAGTCATGGTCATGGAAGAAGTTCTTAATTGAAATAATAAAAGTAAGCGTAAGTGAGCATTAGAATTAATTTACAATTACGAACAGAACCGAATTACGGTTACACAGAACAAGGAATGAAGAAAATTTGAAATTCAATTGCTTGCTGGGTTTGGAACCGCTATTAGCTCTAGTTACAAATATGCAATACTGTCATTTTTGAAGTAAACCTTCTTTACGCACGCTTGACTTGGGGAGTAAGCTGGTAAATGCGTGACGAGTACGAAAAGTGTCATCGGTCGAGGCAAACAGAAGTTGAGAGGGAGATATAAGTTAGTGAAGATAGAAAGAGAGAGTTACGTTTCGTATATTACTGTAGGGTAAGAGAGAGGGGTGCGAGCACACATTTTCTTTCTCTCTTGCTTTCATAGCCAAGAAGTTTGTTTTCAGTCGTGTGGTCTAAAGCACAATCGTTTTTGAACTAAGTATCTCTCAACGTTGTTCCTACACCAGTCGCATAACCTATATCTTTTACTTTGCCATTGTCTTTATTTTGTATATCTGTTTTCTTAATGTACTACGAATTGCCGCTTTTTCCAAAATGCCCGCTTAAAGCTAAAAAGTAGTTGCTAAAATCTAAGTGGTTAACACGTTTCAGCTTCGGAAATACGTTCATGAGCGTTTGCATTAGCTTACCTTCTCCTGATCAGATGAAAGACCTTTTGTGTCGGCGGGACATTTGCAAAAACGAAACAATTCTCGGATACAAGCACTTTAAAAATTACCATATCGCAGATATTTACAATAATAGGTAATGTACGTACCGTCAAAGTGGGAGAGCTCAATCATCTCAAAGGGCGGCCTGCGGCGCATGCGCACGGTGTAGGTGGCGACGTGGTAGTCGGGCTGCACGAGCCGCCGCGTGGCGCTCGCGGTGGCGCGCCCGCTCTCCGAGCGCGCCAAGCCCGGGCTCGAAGCGTCTGCCGCCACCAACAAACATTTACGTCAACCCTGTTGCTTCTAATGAGAAGGTATCATTCGTCGGCCTGTTAACTGAAGCTCGCTCTCTTATCGCTTTTAACGTACACGCTTGAACTTATAAAGCCATTAAGAAGGTTCGATTTTATAAAAAAAATAATTGTGAATGAATTGATCAATCTTTATAAAAAATTAACCTAAATTTATAGTTTATAGGGATTGCTACAACTTGAATAGATAGCTACTATAGTTCTACAGATATGCGGGTTGCGATGGCTGAGGTCGGCGAGTGGCGTCGTGCGGTGTTCCACAGGGATCAGTCTTGGGCCGACTCCTGTGGAACATCGGTTACGGTTATTCCTAGTGCGGGAGTTGTCTTTTCTTTTAGGATCACGATCCAGTACGAGCGCCCGATACCTCATCGAGGGCTCGATATCGTTGCGAGTGAATACTACTATGAGGCTGAATCTCTCAGGACGCCTGAGAGGCTCATGAAATAACAAGGCCCCAGATTTGTGCAGAGGCACCGCAGAGCACAAAGTCGTAGCCGATGTTAGAACCTATTTAGTGTTCAGGACTAATTATAGTGACAACCCACTACTGTACAAGTATTTATTATTGTGTATGTTATTTTAATCTTAATAATATGGGGGGGGAGGGGGCAAAGTAGGGATTTCATTAAAGAATAGAAATTTGCTTAACACTAGATCAGTGGTTTCGTGAAGATTTGTACGAAGTAGTTACTTGTAGATAATATAAATTTTCTTGATTCTTAATTACCTTCATATTTAGAAGTGGTCGGTATTAAATTCAGTTCTTTGTCTCTTTCTCTGAAAACCAATAGTCACATAAAACATAATAGATTATAACACTCCAAACAAATGGAATAAAATTAGAACATCTACGGTATTTTACTCTATGTCGATGTTAAAAACTCCTGAAAATTAACTGAGTGGGTAGTTATAACTTGGTAAGTTTAAAAAAAGTTTTAAAAGCAATATTTATACACATAATATTTACGTCTAATAAACCAAACATACACCGTCATCGAACATGTACCTAACGTGTGCAAGCGGTGAGGTTATTAAATTAATATCAATTGCCATTGCCTTCCCATCTTAACTTCTCCTTGCATATCCTAACTACCAGATTTACGGCAATATGCTTGTCGCCTAATACGTGAACAGGATTAAAATAATTAATAGACGACAAACTGTGGACGTTTAATGTGCATCTGCTTACACCTCCAATGATAAAGGCGTAAGTGTATGTAATACCAAAAGTAGATAGCCGTTAAACAGTAAAAAGTATAATAAAGGTACTAACTGTAAATCCATAAGATAACCAGAGATACTTTTAGGAGATCTTAGAAGCGAACTTGTCCCTCTGAGTCGAAGTTCCCCGACGCCACGCAGGAATTCCTCCAGTGGTAATTGAATGTTCGGTTGAAGACCTAACTGTCTGTCATTAAAAGAATATACAAACTAATTAAGTTGAAAAAAAAGAACTGTGTGAAAATGTGGCGACCGCCGATTTTAACATTTGTAATTTTCGTGTGGCAATTAAGACAAATCAAAGGACACCCCAAACGCCAAAATCCATCAAGCCATACACTTGTGCCTTTTATAGACGCTAAGAAACAGATACAATGTGAGCCTATCAGGTTTGGAACTCACATTCATAAAACAGAGAAAAACCTTAAAGTCTTTTTATGCATGTAACCTAGAAGCTAACTTTTAAGAAATTGTTACACTATTCCTATTTTCCTCTTTATGTGATTTTTTACTTTATATGATACTTGTGTAAACAATAGGGAATATGCACGTGACACCAAAATGGACAAAATATTTGTATTTGTAATTTTTATTGCTGAAAAAAGATACCCATACAATTATTTTTTAAATTTATTATAATTTAATAGTGAAATTTAATCATCAAAAATTGGCTTTTTTAAGATTCCCTCGCAAATTTCTAAAACGCAACGTTATTGGTTGAATAAAACATGACGTCAACCTACACTGTCAAGAGTGTCAACAAGTTGTGTGTATTACTAAATATTACTTCTGGTGATTATTTGTTTCATTTTAAGTTAATAACTAATACGTTTTCAGTGTTAAATTATTAAATTCCCGTGTAGAAAGACTCAACACAATGACTGAAAATACTTTGTCAGGTGCAGTTTTGATATTATTTGGGCACAAAGGAACGGCACAATATTTATAATAAGTTTTTATTGGCTTTTCCATGGTAAAAAGTTAATTTTTATCACTCACTTTTTTAGCTTTCACAAACTTTGTGAACTTCACTCCGTTGTTGACATCGAATTCGTCTGAAAGTGTAATCTGACGTCACAAAAAAGCGCGCCAAAATGGACGTGTTCAAATTGCCCCAAAATGATAGTGATTTCAATAATTTTTCTTTTGCTTAACGGTTTATATTTCGAATGTGTTATATTTATTTTTGGTAATGTAATAACTAGTAGAATCTTTTAAAAAAATAAAAAAAATACATGCATATTCCCTATTGTTGGTAAACCAATAAAATAATTAAATGTTTTTAACTACTAAATTGTGCGATTTATGGTAGGACTCCAAATAGGAAACTAAAAAAGACGTTGGAAAAGAGGTATACTAGACAAGTATCACCTTAGACAGACATCAGCGTCTCTTGCAACGTTGAGAGCGTCGACAGGCAGCTGACGAGCAGTTCGAGCTGCAGCCACAAGATCCTTGAACTCCACATACTCCAGTTTAGAATCACGATTGCTATCGAAGTATCTGCACCATATATTATGATTTATTGTTATGACAACTGTATGAGAAAAATTCACTGGCCTATTGGACTGCTAACCCAGAGATCAAGGGTTCGATTACCACCCAGTACCAAAAATTATAATGTGAGTACGACCATTTATTTTGTGTCATGGTGTTATTTATTTTAATCTGGTCATTCAGTCTGGTTATCGTAGCACAGGTTCTGACTTCGGCCTAATTTAGGATCACATGGTCATGTGTAAGATATGTCAAGTTATTACAAAGTAAAAAATAAACCTGAAGATATATCTGCATCTTATTTCGGCTGGTAAACCACTGTGCTGTGTATTAGGTTCTAGAGCTGCAGACCAAAGCATGAGCTCCTGGAACGTAAGACCACCTCGTCCTGTTACATCTGCCGCTCTGAATCGAAAAACAATATTGTTTTGTACATGCAAGTCTTGATGGCCTGGTCGCTGCACGCCATAAATAAGTTAGCCAACTTCTTCTCTGGCAATTTTACCTGAAGAGAGCGGTACATTGCGTCTTCTGCCAACCAATGTCCACCATGAACTGCGTAAACGGGTTTGTGCTCATATACGTGCACGGGTAGACCAAAACCACGAACTCGCGGTACAGCCGAAGTTGATCTGCGAGAAGATACGTTGGTTCTGTAAAGATGGGACTTGTAGAAAAGCGATTTTATTGAAGCATACTTGTATTTGAAGATATCTTTATAGATCTGAACATATCTATCGATTAACAAAAAATAATAAAGTGCTATTATTTATTGATACCTGAGATAGGAATTTAATGTGGATGGATACCTGAGATAGGAATTTAACCAGAATTTGATGACAGACTGGCATTTTTCCCGGCGTTTAATCTCAAACTCTATTGCTCGCTGAGCAAGACGAGTGTTTTAGTCGGTTAAATGCCTATTTTGATAGACTATAACAGTTCGTATTTAGTATGTATATATATTGCCGTATTATGTCCATACTAAGCAGTGCCTGATAACCACTAGCCTATGCCAACAAAGTTCCATCAAGAAAGACAGACAGTAAATTAAATTAAATTTGTTTCGCTTTCCATCGGGTTACCCGTCTGCTCGCTCATTGCCATAAAAAGCTAAGGAATTGCTATAGACTCGAAAGTATTTTTGTAAGTAATGAAGAGGTTTGGATACTGTTCTTTAGCAACTGACTTCTGCTCGTCCGGCCTCCGGACTCACTAAAAACCGGTGGTAAGGTATTATTTCGTTGTTTTTAGCCAGTGAGGAAGTTAACGTGGACACCCAATACCAGTTTAATACCATAACAAAATTCTATCAATATTTTCACCATCCTTAGAGTATCCAGCAGCCAGTAATAGCTGGGAATTCGGAGTAGCCATGGAAACCGCACCACCACCGACATCAGAGCCAAACGTTAATAATGCTTGTTCTTCACATACTTCTATCAGCATGCTGTAGTCCATATCCTTTAATAAGATATAGATAACATTAAATAAGTATAAAAGTATTCAAAAAATGCCACTAAAAACAACAAAATACAAGAGCCATTAGGTAATTTGATGAGTATCATACCATCATCATCACAACCACTTATGTTTTGACAACTGTTCCGTAAATCGCGAATTAAATAATAAGCAACCATTACAACAGATAGATAAAACAAATATTTTTATAATTAGGTAGGTACACATCTATCACCTGAGCTTCTGAAGATTCTTTAGCTTCACCAGCGACCAACAGCGCGAACACCGCAAGCTCTGGGCTCCGGAGGTTGGCGTGTGCTCTCTGTCGCTCCAGTTCTGTCATGTTGAGCCACTGCATCCTGTTCTTCACCCCCTGAGTAGATCGCGTATCCTTATTGAATATATACCTAATCTCGTAGCCTAAGGGGACTTCCATAAATGACGTTACACCTAAAGGCCTTAACAGTGATATAAATCATCGTTTTTTGTTTTGTTACTTTTTGAAATGTTTTAAATGCACATTATTTTTTGCTGTTTCGTCTTTGATTGGGTCATCATACTCATCATAATAAGGGGAACAATTAAAGTATTAATAAGGGAGTACTTACTAATTTTAACTTGACCTTTTTTTTCACATCAGATTTAATGGCCACCTTGTAAATTGCATGGTACACGCATGGCAGAGCATGCTTCGGCAACCAGATTTTGTATACTCGTAAAGGGGTACATTGCGGGCCCACATCTGCGCCAAATAACTGAAAAGTACAATAAAGGAGAAATTTGTCTTACTAACTTAGTCGAATATACTTCATAGAAGACGCTCTTTAGTATTTTAATCTTTGGTTAATCTCTGGTCTTACAAGTCCCATTTATAATAATATTTATTTAAAATTTATTATTCTTTTAGAATTCGAACAATGTTTTAGAACATTATAGATTATTTAATTTAGCAACAGTGATTGTCCGCGCGATGGAAACTTTTTTTTTATGGTATAAGGGGGCAAACGAGCAGACGGGTCACCTGATGGTAAGCAACTACCGACGCCCATGGACACCTGCTACTCAAAAGTCACAAGTGCGTTGCTGCCCTTGGAGTCCCTCACACTCGAGTCAGCGGAAGGTGGGATTTGGACTCCGGTAACCTCACTCATTCAGTGAAAGGCAACGAAAGAATTGCTTAACACCGATTTTCTGTGAGGCCGTGGTATCACTCCGGTCGAGCCGACCCATTCGTGCCGAAGCATGGCTCGCCCACGGATACTACTAACTACTAACAATTGTTGAGGCAGTATAAAAAATATGTCTTCGATATTTTGTAAACGAGTCAATACTAGTGGCTCAAGATCATCATCATCAACAGCCTTTACTAGTCCACTGCTGGACATAGGCCTCTCCTTTAGGAAGGAGGTTTTGGCCTACTATACCACGCTGGCCAGACGGGTTGGTATAGGGTTTGTTTCAAGTTTTCCTTCTCTCTGCAGTGCTGTTGTCCTGCGTAGTTTGCTTCCTTAGTCGCCTCTTACGACACCCACGGGATGAATAGGGGTGGTGACACTCTGTATTCTTAAAGATTACCTGATTACCTGAGAAAGCAAGTGATAGTTCCTCCACACATCATAAACTTATATAAACTAAACTGCTAATGCAAGAGCAAAAGAAGTGCGAAGTTGACGGAATAGTTCAGTTAAGTGCAGGTTGCATAATGCGATGCTATGACAGGTCACATTTTTCTGATGCTAAATCAGGCCGCCAATACACGAGGGTTCTGACACCTGTTATTTTCTTTCTAACGTAACGTAACGACCATAAATTGTTTAGCAACGATATGCTAGCTAGCTTTGGTAAAAATTTATGGTTTCCACCACTAGTTCAACTTCACAAAATAATAAAACCAATTCTGCTTTTGATGTATTCTGATTGTGATCTGTGGTAGTGATTTCGTGAAGTATAAACCAGAACCTGGGGAAGCGAGGCGAGATGTCAATCAAGTTGCACACATCATATTATATGTGCGACTTCTATAAGACTAGCTCGTTTTTAGGGTTCCGTACCTCAAAAGGATAAAAATTGAACTCTTATATAATCACTTTGTTGTCCGTCTATCTGTCTGTTAAGAACCTTACAAAAAGATTTCGAGTATTTTAAGAACCTTTATCTCGGGAACGGTCCCTTGAAGCTGTAAAATAATCAAACTCCTAATTTAAAAATTTCGACACTCTCAAGGGAATTAAAAGTTAATAGGGAAGTACCCGTTGACCTATAACTCTGAAATTTGTAAATGAATATACATTTGTAAATAACTCATAAAAAATATAGTCTTTGTTATTTAAAGTACGTAATCAATTATCAAGGTGGCGTTTGATTCTGATACTGAACGAGGAGGCAATGTTAACACACGGCAAAAGCGTAGACGCGGAAGCGACGATGACCACCGGCAAATCAGGAATGAAATGTCAATGATATCAAACAAACTTGATCAATACTTTTCGGAATTGAAACAACAGAATACCGAGCTAAGAGACAGCCTACAGTTTATGTCTGACAAATACGATTCACTCACTAAACTGCTTAGTAAAGTGGAAAAAGAAAGGACGGAGGACAGAAAGCTGATTTCAAAGCTGGAAGAAAGACTGGAGTCCATGGAACGGAAATCCAGATCAACAGGAATAGAAATACGTAACATGCCGATTTACCTGCATGGAAGCAAGGAAAGAGAGAAAAAGGAAGATATCTGTGGTTTGATGCATTGCTTGGCGAAAAGTGTCGATGTGAGTCTCAATGATTGTGATATAAGAGATGCGTACAGAGTAACTACTAGCAAAGAAATTGTAAAACCAATCATAGTCGAATTAAACAGTGTCATGAAAAAGAATAAAATAATGGAAGCAGTAAAACAGTTTAACAAAAACAAGCCTGTTGGAGGCAAGTTAAACACTGAACACTTCGGGATTCCAGGACAGAAAAAACCTGTTTTCATTTCTGAGGCTTTGACAGTCAAGGCACAGAAGTTGCACTACATGGCACGACAATTCATGAGGGAATATAATTATTCATTTTGTTGGACCTCGAAGGGTATAGTGTACCTACGTAAAGCTGAGGGAGAACTAGCTATCCGCATTGAAACTGAGGAAGATCTGCTTAAAGTAAGGTCAAGGCAGTGACTATCTTTAGTATGTTTATTCTTTGGTGTTTTTATGTTATTATTTTATTTACTTGTCAAAATTTATAGTCTATTTACCAGTTATTTTGTTAACAATTTACTAGTCCATATTGTTATATTACTAAAATTTCACTTAGTAAACCTAATTATCACACACCAAAACTTGTTCTGCAGACACAGAATTACACCTTCTTATTACTTTTTTGACATACATGTCCTGCAACTATCTACAAGCTACAATTATAGGATTAACAACACACATTATAAAAACACAAAATCTGCACCCAGATCCACACTGCGTACACTGCGATACTCTCTAAATTATTGTGTCCTAATAATGAATATGTATCGTATAATTCAAACTTCGATTCTATACTAGACAATCACACAAATAGCATAGATGAGATTGAAGTTGCCGATTCTTTCAGATGCGAGCCTGAGAACTGCAGGAATATTATTGCGCATGAAGGTCTAAAAATACTTACTCAAAATATCCGGAGTATATCTGCAAATATTCATAGCTTCACGACACTTTTGGTGAGAATGTCAATATCCTTAGATATCATCATACTCACAGAGTGCTGGCTGTCGTGCAACCCACACATACCCGCAATAGATGGTTACAACTTATATTCAACTTCTAAATGGACCAATTAAAATGACGGAGTCGTAGTTTACATCAGGAGTGATCTTGCTAATGTACAGAGTCACAGAACCTCCATTTGCAGGCGCTAGTTGTTTACAAATATTAATAGGAAAAGATTTTTGTATTCTTGCACTCTACAGGCCTCCATCATTCAGGGATTTAACCGGCTTTCTCTCTTCTTTAGATCAACTACTGACAATAAACTCTTATTTCACTAACTTAGCAGTCATGGGCGACATTAATTTGGATATTGTGAATGGTAACATAGATAATAAGACATTAGAATACTTAAATCTTAATGCTGCTCATGGGTTATTACCAGCCCATAATCTGGTTACACATGGAAAAACCTCACTCGATCATATCCTCCTTAAAACTAAACTCAGAGCCTCAACCGTCGTTATAGACTCAAACGTTACGGACCACAACGCTGTTTTATTAACTTTAAATAAAATAAAAATTAATAGTGCAAATAAGATAATTAATAAAATAAATTACATTAAACTAGAAAATCAACTAAATACTACTGATTTTTTCCTACATATACGAGTGTACGGATACTAATATTGCACTTGAATATTTTAATAAATCACTCACTAGAGCTATACAATACAGCACCATAACCTACAGTGTACCACATCGCCTGAGGGCTATAAAGCCATGGATTACGCCAGGTATGCTGAGGTGCATGCGTAATAGGGACAGGATGTACATAAAATGAAAAAATCACCGGACAGTGATACGGTCTGCATTACTTATAAACGGTATAGAAAATTTTGCAGCCGTATTTTAAAAAACCTTAAAAGGCAGTACGAGGAAGCTGAGTTGAAAAAAGCTGGATCTGATCCAAAGAGGATGTGGAATGTAATCAGAAATGTAGCCCACACACAAAAGAGATATGTATCCGCTAGTCCACTACTTTTGATAAAAGATTCTGGTGAAGAATCTATTGAGGAAGTTAATAATTTTTTTTGTGAAAACCGAGAAACACATAGCTGAGGAGGTGGCGAAAATGATTGACGGTGGTACAAATACGATTAATAAGACACCTCTGAATGCTAATTGTGGGTCATTGGTTTTGTTGGCAACTGACGAGTCAGAAGTGGACCGATTGATTCAAACACTGCGTGGTGATTGTGCGATAGGCGTAGACGGTATTTCATCTAATGTAATTAAACAGTACAGGAGATTCTTTGTGCGGCCATTGACGTTTATACTTAATTTGTGTATAAAAAACAGGTGTATTTCCCGACCTATTTAAAAAAGCTCTGATTCATCCTATACATAAGGCGGGGGATGCAGATCAGGTAAATAATTATAGGCCAATCTCAGTTTTGCCTTGCTTGTCTAAAGTTCTGGAAAAAATTATGAACAATCGCCTAAAGAAATACTTGGAAGATAATAACATACTTTCGAATAACCAATATGGCTTTAGAAACAACAGGTCTGCAAATGACGCAGTGTTTGAACTAACAAACCATATTGTGCAGGCTTTGGATAAAGGTAGGAAAAGTGTTGCAATCTTTTTGGATTTAGCCAAGGCCTTCGACACAGTCTCCATCCCCAAACTGATTGATAAATTGGAGCGTGTTGGTGTAAGAGATCGACAATTAAAACTTTTTGAAAGTTATTTGACTAATAGGACACAGTGTGTAAAGATTAATGAGTACATCAGCAAGGAGCTTCCTATAGAATTCGGTGTGCCACAGGGAAGTATACTTGGGCCCACGCTTTTCCTAGTTTACGTGAATGAAATGTGCAAACTGAAAATTACCGATGGCAAATTATTAGCTTTTGCAGATGACACCGTACTTATTTTTACAGGTGAGACGTGGGACCAAGTCTTCGGGATGGCACAATTAGGATTCAATATAGTAACTGAGTGGTTGGCAAGTAACACATTATCTCTCAATGTTGACAAGACTAGAGTCATGCAATTTAGCATCAAAGGATCGAAAATAGCAGGAGTTGATCGATTTATTACTGCTCATAAACACATACATGGCAGCAACTTTGCATGTACTTGTCCCAACTTACATACCGGCACTAGCATAAAGTACTTGGGTGTAATCATAGATGATAAACTGTGTTTCGCACCACATATTGACCTACTTACGGGAAAAATTCGGAAGCTTATATATATATATTTAAACACTTGAGACATGTCGCAAGGCCAACAGTTCTAAAAAGCATATACTTCGCTTTGTGTCAATCCCTGTTAGGGTACTGTATTCTATCTTGGGGTGGGGCTTGTAAGTCAAATTTAATAAAGCTTGAGCGGGCACAGAGAGCTGTACTAAAAGTAAGTACTTTTAAACCGTATCGCTTTCCCACAAAAGATCTGTATGAATACTGCGAAGTTCTGACAGTACGGCAGTTGTTCATTCTGCAAATCATATTGAAGCAGCATTCAATGCGCAAAACAGACGCGACATCATCATCGGTTTTTGCGACGCAATTTGCGTACGGTAAAGCTTCCGCCAGCTGATAGACATAGGACCTCATTCAGCGAACGCTTTTACTACTTCCTAGGGCGTTTTATATATACCAAAATCAATAAAGTCATTGATATAGATTCAGGCAGTGAGTATCAGTGTAAGAAGAAAGTAACAAACTGGCTCCAAAAGCTCTCTTATAACGACACCGAAAACCTTATACATCCAGTAACATAAGCAACACACACACACACACACACACACACACACACACACAGAGAGAGAGAGAGAGAGAGGGGGGGAGAGAGAAAGAGAGACGCACACACAAATACACATTCAACATGCACTCAGTGCACGTACATATATGTAGATACCCCACACATTCCGTATACAACGGGTTTACTAAATAGTTATCCTAATTATCCTTATCCATACTTAATATTTAAGTTCGCAAATATTTAGCTTATGTAAGTAGGTCTAGGTTTCTTATTGTAACCAGTACTGTCTTATTTATTTTAGCTGTGAAACTGGAAGGTAGCTGGTACTTATAGCACAGGATATCCTATTTTAAGTACCAGCAGAACACTAGAATTAAGATTTTTTGTACATAATTAATTATAGGTTTTGGAAACTGAATTTCTGGCAAAGCTCGTGAAAAACAGTGGGATTCGATTTCTGAACTATTTATAGTATGTACCTACAACTGTATACCTACGGAACCCTCGGTGGGCGAGTCCGACTAGCACTTGTCCGGATTTTTTATTTTCATAATAATGAGCTGATAAACATCCCCTATTAATAGCATAACCTTTTAAAGAAACCTAATAAAATTGTCTTGTGGAGAGGAATAAAATATATGTGACTACATTCAAAATTACCTCAAAATTCATTTTGTTGGCAGTAGATTTCCAGCAGTTATTCTCGCATTTCGTAGAAGGTAACCATAACTCTCCGCTAGATTCTTTAGTGAAGAGGAAAGCTCTCTCCGAGGGACAATACACCAGGAGAGACACTACATCACACAAGTCGGTGTACTTCTTAAACATAATTTCACTAAGAATTATACTCTGATTTATAAAATCTTCAAAAATTAAAAAAATATAAAGGTATATTGGTGTTTTGTTGCTTAAAAATAATGCAACAAATCTGTGACATATTGTCATTTGTGAGGATTGAGTATTCTGATAGTTGTCAAATCTAACAGACATACAGGAATTTGTATTACAACCATCGGTCAGAACATGCACAAGAAGGGGACATTGCAAAAAGCCCGAAATTGTTTTTATTTCACTGTGTTTTAGTGACCTCAAATATAGTTAATTAATTAGCTAGTATTCTCGCAATAACATACATAGATTTGAAGAGAATTTGCCAGCTGACTCCACCAAAACTAAATTCTGCTTGGAATTAGTTGTCTGCTATACGAAATTAAAATTCACAGAAGACATTTGATTGAACTATATTTTCTACGAAAATGTCACCAACAAAAATTGTGCTTGATTCTCTAAAAATAAGTCTACTTTTTATAAATACTGAAAAGACCAAATATCGTACGATGATATTTTATGGCTTTTCTGTAAAGAGAGAAACTCCGTGAAGCGTGGGGGTTCCTTTCACGGTATTTTTAAATATAATTACTTTTACCAATATCTGTCAATAAAATATTTTTACCATAATTGAGATCTTCTAGCACCCTACGCATTTTTACGATACATTTTTTTTACTTATAGAAAATTATTTTCTACTTTTTAGTTTGGCTAGTTAGAAAAGCATGTATTTTAGTTCATTATTCTAGATAAACATGTATATTAATAGTATGATCAAAACTAATATTTAGTACCTAATGAGTTACTCGTTATTCTCGGCAGTTCGTTTATTCTCGGCATCTATACCTCTCTCTCTCTAAATCTCGGAATTAAGTAGCTGAACGCAAACTTAAAGGATAAATAACTGTACACATCCCATCCAAGACAGTCTGATCTCAAACTAAGCAGAGCCTTTTGTTTTTAACGTGTGGAAACCTCCTCCGCCTGTCACCGACCGAGGTTTGCGGCGGGGTGGTGTGAAAATCGAACCGACTAAAACCACACGGTGTGGCACTCCACGCCCGAGATAGGATTTGTCCGGGAACAGCTAGTATTAAGACATCTGAACCAAACGGGCTCCCCCTTTCGGTAAACTTTCTATTTAGGCGACGTCCGCCACAGGCGGCTGGCCACTATAGCGGATGGAGGAGAAAACAAGTCCCGTCCACCCGCGGCCACGCTCAGGTTGGCATGAGGCGCTGGTAAGCGCACCTACTCCGCCCGGTTCGGGTCTGAGTGGAGATCATCCTCCCGGGCCCTGTTTGTCTTATCCAGGGCCACCCGTAAGCCCAGCAACCGGCTTGCTGATAAACATAAATCATCGTCATCATCAGCCTATCACAGTATACTGCTGGACATAGGACTCTCTCATTGCACGCCATTTAGATCGATTTTGGGCTTCTCGCATCCAGCTCCTGCTAGCCATCTTGCGCATTTCGTCACTCACACACAATATATAATATTTCTAAATACACACATATTTTAGATAAATTACACCCAGACATAGAACAAATGATCGTGCTCATCACACAATATTTGTCCTAGGTAGGAATCGAACCCACGACCTCCACCAACCAAAAGGGGGGATAGTCGGATTTTCACGAAATTTAGCATATACTTAGATTTACATTGTCAGAGGTGTACCTCATTGTCAGAGATCAGAGGTACCATTTGACCAGAAAAAAGTACTGTTCACAAGGAATAGAATATACTTAGTATTCGAAAAAGATAAAAGTTGGATTTACGAACCGAATATCGAACTTCTCTCGGTTATCTGGTTGACCAAGTTGCATGGTCTGGTATGGACTCGAAATCTGTTTGTAAGTCGATTCAATCTTATATCTGATCAACAGTTAAATTATAGTTTCTGGAAGGGGTTCTAGGTGAGACGCATGATTTCAGACATATTAGTAGTTCCTAAACAGCACTATAGATGGTAGTATATTCAGCAAAAAAATAACAAACCTCCTTGAACGCTGAAAACATATTTTATTATGAAAAATTGTATCCAGACTACATATTTATTTTTTTATCTTGATTTCAAATCCTATTATTTCACTGTAAACTGTGCCTATGTTTTCTATTTCATTCATACTCAGGTAATATTGATTAGGACTACTATAGTTCTTTATGGCATACATATATATATATATTGTGACGTAGCGATCACGCCACCTTCTCGATGTCCATTACAGCGCTCGGATTGGTCGAAAAGTGTTCTCCCCTCCCCAAACAAAAATACGACACATTCAACATGTTTAGGGTTGTGCTTTAACAAATTGCCAACTCGATTTGAAGTTTAATACACAAATTAAAATTGTTAAGAAATAATTTCATATCGTATGAGAAATAAATTGTTTTACATTTATCAAATATCTGTCACACTGTATTGCGTCCAAAGATATCTCCATTTTTTTGAAAACAACTTCAGTGGTTAAAATCTATTTTGTTCTAGTGGTCTCGATTGTAAATGAATACTGTCAAACAGAATCCGGATTACATCACTAGAAATTTCTTCGGCACTACGGATTTGCTGGAGGTTACGAATCCCGCTAGTGTTTACCTCAAATTTATTTGAAAATTTGGTGATAATTTACAAGTGTTATATACGCAGTGGAGCTGGTAAGGAGTGGTGAAGAGAGAGGTGAGTCTTTTTCTCAGTATTTGTCATTATTAAGCGTACGAGATATCGCTAAAAAGCGTGAATCTATAACCTTTAAGACAGATTTCGAGGAGTATTTTATTTTTTGAATATTTTTATTATGCAGATTATTTAAATTTATGAATTATCTTTAATCAAATTCTATGACTTTAAAACATGGGTTTAATCGCTTTGGATAGATATTTAGTCTACCAACTAAGATTTAAATACCCTCGCACCGAAATAATGTATCTCACTTTCTTTAACACCTTTGTTGGTCAATTAGAATTAAATCGAAGGGATAACAAAGGAGGAATATTCTTTAATATATTTTTTTAATAATAAAGAACCTCGAACCGTAGAAATAGCCATGATTAACTATTGATTTATGCATTTTTTTTCAACGTTTTGTGATTGTAACGACCATGCTTCGCGTCTCTGTATTTGTTTTTAATTTTATCTTTATAAACAAAACGTGATAAATAATAAGTTACTGGCAATTTATCTGATAAATATATACTTAACTCAATATATAGCTTAGACATATGTTATCATTCATGATAAAATATTAATGAGACAAATCTGTTTTTGTTTGTCTATAACAGTTGTAGGTTTGTTTTATATTTTCTATATCTCAGTTATTATGTACTAAACATATATTGACTTCTATTTGTATAAAGTTGTAGTGTATTTGGGATAACTTATTCTGTCAAAACTAGTCCATAAAACATACCAATTATTGCGGTAGTGCTGTGCTATTATGTGTAGGACATATCATTTGTTCTGTTAAAAAATCGTAAATTTTAGATGTCTAGGTAGTGCAAGATTCAGTTAATACCTATTTTTTTTTAGTTAAGCCTTATGAAACAATAGTGGACATTGCATAGAGTCAAGTAAGAAATGCTTACCTTACTAGAAAAAAATACCCTGTCTTTAACATTATTCTCACATTTATTTATTTTTATAAAACACGTACAGAAACAGACAACAGATTATGTAACACAAATAATAGCATTTTAACATACATGTTATAAACCTGATATCCTATTATATCTGTACACATCATTTAAAAGTTAACAGCTTCCTAGAGATGAAGACAAATACATAAACAAATGGAGATTAGAAGAAGTGAATACAATGATTACAAATGTGACTAAACGCTAAGCTAATTTATCATATATGGCTTTTTTAAAGTTAATTAATTTGATCATTAAAGATATCCAATCCTGAACAAATATCGTTATACTGCCTACACATTGATTGACTTGGCTTTGCATAGCTTGTTTTCTTTTTGTCAATAATGGTACTCATATGTTGTGGTACATAATTATCTGCACATAATGGGATGCAAAAAAAATTAAATGAAATTAAGAAGTCAATCCGATGAAGAAAATTCATTGCACTGAGCCTAATAAATTTGGAAGAAAAGGCTAAGATGATCATAATGATGGTGGAATGCAAAAGTTTAAAAGACTAACTTTAAACTTAACATCAAATATAACATATTATTCAAAATGCTTTTATAATTTTTGATCTCTATTATTTTTGTCTTAAGAATTAAATTTGTTGATTGCTCAATTGCCTTTATGGAATGCAAGTATTTAGAAAATAACAATACAGTAGATTTCTTGATAACAAAGACGCCTTTGTGGTTTGTTTTGGCATTTCTGCCCGGAGTGAGTCTTAGGAAATGCTGATGCCTTCTAGCTGTAAAGTCTGACTTGTAAAAAGATTACTTACACAAAAAGTAAAATTTTTTCATTGACACCCAAGTTATTAAGGTTATTAAGGGTAGCAGCACACTTATTAGAATTAAATGTGTGTAATTTAAAATCAATTATGTAATCTTCAATTCTTGACATGTTATGTATTTAAATCATGTGTCTGTTGTGTAAATTACTTGGTTAAATCATCAACCTGTATATAATTAGATATATTATGTTTGTTATTAACATACAATATACTTGAAATTTTGTTTACTATGTAATATTGTCGGAAAGACACGTTTTGGCATATATTAGTTCACTCACCCGGAGGCATATCACAGCCCCAAATCTGGTGGTACTCAATTTTATTGCTGTCTGTGGTTACCAGAAGCCTAATACTCCCTCTCCCTCCCCCTATATCTGGGAGTGAAGAACTCTCGAAAGGTAAGTGCCCACGAGCAGGGCATTTACCTCAGATGACCCATCTGATTGTTTGTCTTTGCTATAATAGTCCACTGCTGGACACAGGCCTCTCCTTAGAAAGGAGGTTTTGGCCTACTATACCACGCTGGCCAGACGGGTGGGTATAGGGTTTGTTTCAAGTTTTCCTGCTC